TTTTGAAATTACCTATAAGAATAAGCAACAATGTACTTTAAACACAGTACACACAATGTACTGTGAATTTTAAAGAGGAGATAGAATAGGATACAACTGAGAATCAGGTTGTTTTGGACACAGATTTTAAAATGATAGAGTAAAAGAATGATATTGACAAAGATGCTACACAGGACTTACAAATGAAACTGGCTGATGTTTTAATAGCTAAAAGGGACATACAAATAATAAATCAGAAGAGTGACTTGATGAGTGGATTTTAGCACAGAAAAGTGACTTTGACAATCTTCTTATTTTGGACTTGCAAAGGAGATGTGTTATACTTATGAAAAAATTTCTGAGAAAAGATAAAAAGAGAATGAAAAGAAATCAGCTTCTGGGACATTATTTAAAAGTAATAAACATCAAGGTTTTTAAAACCAAAAAGAAGCATTATAAAGTCAGTTTGTGCAATCAAGGTTAAAATATGATGTTTTTTCTTCTAGTAGTTTTTAACGGATTTTGCTTGACCAGGACTGAATGACGAAGCCTCAAAGATTTGCTATTAAATAAGATATGGGGAGAAGAGATTTTTTTGTTGTATTTTTAGAGAAAATGATAAGTTACTGTGTATAGTAAAGGGAATGAAATTGATTTACTTGTTTAATGTAATATATATACTGTTATTTCTGGTAACTCTTAATGGACTTTTGTTGATTAAGATTGAATGATGAGGTTTTATTATTTACTAATAGATAAAAGATGAGTTATGGGATGAAGAAATCTTTGGTTGAAATGTTAGAGGAGGTGATAAATTACTGAAATTGTTTGTACTTGTCTTGATGAAGGGGGAAGTCATTTCTTTATATATTCTTTTTTCTTTAAATATTTTTTCTTTTTCCTCCCTCCTTTTCTTCTTTTCCTTTTGCACTTTTTATTCTTTTTTTCTTTTTATATTTTTCTTAGTTTGCATTAGTTTTTTATCTCTGTATTTTTAAACTTTAATAAAAATTATTATTAAAAAAACAAACTGGATAACAATAGAGTGAACTGTACAACAGATTATACCAGAACAACAGGATCTTGCCTATTTATTGAAAGAACATCTTGAAATGCTCTGACGATCTGGTGCCTAGAGAAAGGGACAGCTACTGTAGAAAATTCCTTCCTTAAGCCTGCTTTCAGATCTTCTCAATATCGGATTAAGATTTGTTTTATCTTACCAGATTCTTAACTTGCATTTGCAATATCCAGGGTCAATGGTGGCATACTATTACAAAGGGCTGCATTAATAGAAGGGTGGGCAACCTTTTGCTTGCTTAGGACTTCACACTGTTTGCTGAGAAGGCTGAAGGGATGTAGCAAGAGGACTGGAGACACAAAGTTGGTGGAGCCACAATATTCTGGCCATAATCAAACAGCTGCATTAAAATTCTACCTATCAATTCTTAAACCAGCAGAAAATCAGGTGCTCCAAATAGCTGACCCCTATGCTGCAGCAGTAAGAAGGCTGGCAATACTGTAGGTACTGCCCTTTTTTAAACATGGGACAGTTTAGGAAAGTGAATGATGGGTTCCCCCATGTGTATTTCTCATCCCACCAAGCTTTGACATGAACCATTAACTGCCTAATGTGCGTTGAGTTGGGTGAGTGTAGGTGATATGTGGAACAGCTTGTTTAGCTATCTATCAAGCTGTCCAACTAATATGTCACAGGACCAAAATACTGCATGCTTGTGACTTCTCAATAACGCAATTTCTAAACACAGATCATTGTTTTAAAATTAAATAGTAATGACTTGTTTTAATATAAAATGAAGAGCTTGACATTTTAGAATGGCAGTGGAACTTTGAAATTTGAATAGTTTGGTATTTTCACTAATGGTTTCTTTTTCTTGTTTTTCTTCTTTCTTAGTTTTAGCTTTCTTAGTTTAGTTCTTCTTTTCAAGCACATAGTTTTTATAATAATATAGTCTGTTACTATTAATAATATTAATGTTTTTAATGTCTTTTTAAAAAATGTAATGTTTTAAAAATTAAATTAAATTAATAAAAGCAAATTTGGGGAAAAAAAGCACAACATCTTTGATCTCAGCATATCTGCACTATCAAGAAGTGTACCTTACTATATTTTTTGCAAAACATCAATTCTGAATTGGTGGACCATCAGAAAACCAGTATATGTCAATCAAGAGAGCTTGCCTACAACTCATGCTTCAATATAGAACTGGCTCCTTCCATTTGCATTGTAGGATATTAGTTTCTTCACGGGAAGGCAAAATATAAAACAGGGAGGCCACATTTTTATTCCTCTTCTACCCCTTGTCACATTTAAACCATTAATGGCCTTGCTTCTTTGTGAATGACTCCTAAAACTTTCATCTATGTCTACAGTAGTTACGAAACTAACGTGGAATACCATCTACAAGAAACTTCCCATCTTTGCTGCCTATCTGATTTGCCAAAAAGAAAGTGGTGGACACCAGATATGCCACACAGAACATGGCTTGAGCTGCAGGAAAGTAGAGTGAAATTACAAGTGATGTAGACCAGAAGTCCAGCTACATTTCACTCTCCATATTTGCTACCTCATTTTTCAAAGTCAGTAATGATAGGCAATTCTTCTCCATTATCCATAGGATCCAATCAAAAGTCAAGCACAGGAGCAGTTTTTTACATCCTTGTCTTAACTACTGTATTTTTGTTCATCAAAATCCATTTTATTACAAAGTCAGAACTGCAACGAATTAGAAAATACGGCCACTAAAGTTCTCTGAAAGTTAAGAACCAGATCCCCATCCTGACAATCCTTGCTCTAAAATCTTTGAAAACAAAATAAATTATGCACTTTTCTTCTTCTAGTTAATTTTCCCTAACTACAAGCTATTAAATAAACCATTTATATGAACTACAGGTAGTCCTCAGGTTACAACCACTCATTCAGCAACCATTCACATTTATGGTGGTACCTTTGATTGGTCCTTGAGGTTCCGGCCATCACAGCACCTCTGCGGCCACATGATCGTGATCTGGGCACCTGACAGTCACATTATCACCATTTGCGACCTTCCCTGCCAGCTTCCCACTAGCAAAGTCAATGGGGAAGCTGGCAGGGAAGGTTGCAAGTCACCCCCATAAGTCCTTCCCGCCATTTTTTCTCCAGAGGAGCCCCAGGGGTCTTGTACTCTGTAGCACCCTCCTGCTGGCCAGCGGCCCCTGCCAGCCTGCCCACGCTCTCTAGCGCATGCCTGCAGTGCCCCGCTCACGCACTCCTTGCCTGGGACTCTTAACGACCTGCAGGGTCCTGGGGTTACGACAGCAACTAGGACTGACAGTGCTAAGTGATGCGGTCACGTGATATCACACTTTATGACTACATTGCTTAGCGACAGAAGTTCTGGTCCCAATCGTCATCATAACTCAGAACTACCTGTGCGATGGGACTTATGATTTACAACACCTCAGCCGGAATCCCATACTAGAGCCTTTAAGAATGGTGCACTTAAATGCATTAACCATTTCAGCAATTCATAGTTATTTTCCATTTTCTCAGTTACTTCATGAGGGACTTTAAGAAATGTCAACATTTCCAATGACTCTCAGAATCTTTTGGTTAATTAAAAATTTAATTCATGCTAAATAACACAGAAATTATGTTTAATTTAGATGTCTGTTGCACCCACATAATAATTGTGAGGAAGGAGCCAAAG